TAAAAACGCGCTTTTAGATATTATATAGAAACCTATAGAATAACAGCCTTAATTTCGGTGTTTCAGTTCAGATCATATATTTTTAATTAACTACTGCTTCTTTGTGTTCTTTAAAGATCATTTTTTAACATAGTGATAGGTATGGGTTAGATCACTGCATTGATCCCAAACCTTTTTACTGGTAATTTCAAAAACAATATTCAAAGAGTTTTACATTTAAAAAGCTAATTTTCTGGCGGCATGGTACTTTGGTACATTATTACGCGTTTTTCTACATGTACTTAACAGATCAGTTCGGGGTGGGTTGGGGGGGGGGGGTCAACTTCATTCACCACTGTCCGGTCACTTTAGGTCAATTATCCAACCCATTGTATACCTAGGTGTGACATTAATGTCGCTCTACACAATTGTGGTGGTGAGGTGTGTGTGTGTGGGGGGGGGGGGGAGATAACCAACTCAGTGTGAACATAGCGTCAGTTTTTAGATGACTGTTCTAAACATACATATCACTATCGCCCAAACTGTAAGAATACTACTACTTCATCGTGATGACGTTGTTGACCTTGTCAAAATTTCACTACCACTACCCAATTTGCTCATAAGTAAATTTAAATAGAGGTGCCACATCAGTTGTATTTGTTTCTGTATTGCAATTTTTTTTTAAAATTAATCACACGATTCAAACTGTAGGCCTATATATAAACTAATTATGCGTGAAGTTTTATGTATAACATTTTCTAATTCAATTATTCGTAAGCAAATACATTATACAGTTGCCTTAAACTTAACACCCCTCTTGCCAAGTGGTACTACCCGTAGAGGTTTTTTAAACATTGCAATGCATCGTAATGGTTATTTTTAGAATGGCAAACTGATGCAGCTGTTAATACTTGTTGTAAACGTAGACACTACTAGCAGTGGCGTAGCGAGGTCGGGTGTCACCCGGTGCGGCACTTAATGGTGTCACCCCCCCAGAGGCATAGACACCCTTCCCAGGGACAAACTTTCAAATTTTCGATTTGCACCCCCCCCCTCAAACCTTCGATTTGCACCCCCCCCCTCGAGTTTTTCTCTATATATTTTGCTATTTTTTGCCTTGGTGTCACCCCCCTAAATGGTGTCACCCGGTGCGGTCCGCACCCCCCGCCCCCCCCCCCCCCCCCCCTCGCTACGCCCCTGACTACTAGACTAGTACAATAATGCTTTAATTGCTGCATGAAAAGAAATCTTGTGATTTACATAGATGTGCCGACCAAAAATATTTTTTTAACAAATATCATTGTTTAAAACTTTAAAAAGTTTCCAAAAAGGCGCCACTTTGCTGAAAATGGCCAGAGGGGGAGCGGCCGCTCCCCCTGCTCCCCCCCTGCGTACGCTACTGCCGTTGCTGTTATAGAGTAGGAGTTCTTGGTTTTGAAGAGTGCGGGTTCTTGGTTTTGTACATTACATTACGGGTTCTTGGTTTTGTAGAGTTCAGGTTCTTGGTTTTGTAGAGTACCGGTTCTTGGTTTTGTAGATTACATGTTCTTAGTTTTGTAGAGTACAGGTTCTTGGTTTTGTAGAGTACAGGTTCTTGGTTTTGTAGATTACATGTTCTTAGTTTTGTAGAGTACAGGTTCTTGGTTTTGTAGAGTACAGGTTCTTGGTTTTGTAGATTACATGTTCTTAGTTTTGTAGAGTACCGGTTCTTAGTTTTGTTGAGTACAAGTACTTTGTTTTTAAAAGCAAACGTTCCTAGTTTTTAGTATAAGTCTGCAGGAAATTTTTAAATCTCACAGCGGAGATTGTATACAATATAAGAAGCATAATGAAAATAAACTATTTTTAACGTTCTAAACAGGAAAAGAAATAGTATATAAAACATTTCATCTACTTTCAAGACGTCTTCCATGCGTCATATTAGATAACAATTGTTGGACAAACGCCAACACTAAGTCAAACACTGGCATGCGAGACCGCTTTCATTTTGAATAATACTGTAAATAACAATCTTAATTGTTGAATTATTGTAAGATGAATATGTGTAGAACAATAGTAGTACTACATTACTAAAGGGCCTAGAAAAAATGCTCAAAGACTGCTGGCCTGCCGGCGACCTGTCAACTTACAGCTAGAAAGTAAAATATCTAGGGAAAATATAGAGAGGGATCTCTGCATTACTGAAAGCCAAATGATGGCAGAAATTTGCTTGAATTGACAGCGTGACTCAAAACATAGGCGATCGGTGGCTGGCTGCCCAAGCTTTTTGTTTGTGAGATTTTCAGTTGTCTAATTTGGTTCCCCAGTAGGATATTTCATGCAGGTACCTTATTTTTCATTAGGCGACGCCGGTTCCAGAACAGAGACGCCCCGTTAGACGATTGTCACATACCAGAGACGCCCCTGTCAGAAGATTGTCACATACCAGAGACGCCCCTGTCAGAAGATTGTCACATACCACAACAGAGACGCCCCTGTCAGAAGATTGTCACATACCAGAGACGCCCCTGTCAGAAGATTGTCACATACCACAACAGAGACGCTCCTGTCAGAAGATTGTCACATACAAGAGACGCCCCTGTCAGAAGATTGTCACATACCACAACAGAGACGCCCCTGTAAGAAGATTGTCACATACGAGAGACGCCCCTGTCAGAAGATTGTCACATACCACAACAGAGACGCCCCTGTCAGAAGATTGTCACATACCACAACAGAGACGCCCCTGTCAGAAGATTGTCACATACTAGAGACGCCCCTGTCAGAAGATTGTCACATACCAGAGACGCCCCTGTCAGAAGATTGTCACATACCACAACCGAGACGCCCCTGTCAGAAGATTGTCATATACCAGAGACGCCCCTGTCAGAAGATTGTCACATACTAGAGACGCCCCTGTCAGAAGATTGTCACATACCAGAGACGCCCCTGTCAGAAGATTGTCACATACCAGAGACGCCCCTGTCAGAAGATTGTCATATACCAGAGACGCCCCTGTCAGAAGATTGTCACATACTAGAGACGCCCCTGTCAGAAGATTGTCACATACCAGAGACGCCCCTGTCAGAAGATTGTCACATACCAGAGACGCCCCTGTCAGAAGATTGTCACATACCACAACAGAGACGCCCCTGTCAGAAGATTGTCACATACTAGAAACGCCCCTATCAGAAGATTGTCACATACCAGAGACGCCCCTGTCAGAAGATTGTCACATACCAGAGACGCCCCTGTCAGAAGATTCTCACATACTAGAGACGCCCCTGTCAGAAGATTGTCACATACCAGAGACGCTCCTGTCAGAAGATTGTCACATACCACAACAGAGACGCCCCTATCAGAAGATTGTCACATACCAGAGACGCCCCTGTCAGAAGATTGTCATATACCACAACAGAGACGCCCCTGTCAGAAGATTGTCATATACCACAACAGAGATGCCCCTGTCAGAAGATTGTGACATACCAGAGACGCCCCTGTCAGATATTGTCATATACCACAACAGAGACGCCACTGTCAGAAGATTGTCACATACCAGAGACGCCCCTGTCAGAAGATTGTCATATACCACAACAGAGACGCCCCTGTCAGAAGATTGTCATATACCACAACAGAGACGCCCCTGTCAGAAGATTGTCATATACCACAACAGAGATGCCCCTGTCAGAAAATTGTCATATACCACAACAGAGACGCCCCTGTCAGAAGATTGTCATATACCACAACAGAGATGCCCCTGTCAGAAGATTGTCATATACCACAACAGAGATGCCCCTGTCAGAAGATTGTGACATGATTATCAATTAAATTTAAAACCTGCCGGAGACCAAATGCTATTTTCTGTTGCCAATTTTGAAATAATAAGATCTAAGCAAATATCTTAAGATCTTAAAAATATATATATATTGATTTCTAGCAACAATGAAAGAATAATAGAAAACCAGTAGTACAAGCACAATATTGGCAAAAGAAAATATATTTAAGTCTTCTGAAAAAAACCACCAAAAAACGAACAGCCAAGCAGAAAATTTTCTGCCACTTTTTTTTTGTGTTGCTTATTTTTGTATAGGGGTAGTAAGCCTTCCCTCAAGAGGAAGGGGGTGGGGTGGGTTACGGGTATTGAGGGTAACGGGATTGGGGGGGGGGGGGGGGGAAGGGAGGGGTAACGGGATGGGTAACGGGGAGGGGGGAAGGGAGGGGTAACGGGATGGGTAACAGGGAGGGGGGAAGGGAGGGGTAACGGGGAGGGGGAAGGGAGGGGTAACGGGGAGGGGGGAAGGGAGGGGTAACGGGATGGGGAGGGGGGAAGGGAGGGGTAACGGGATGGGGAGGGGGGAAGGGAGGGGTAACGGGATGGGGAGGGGGGAAGGGAGGGGGGAGGGGTAACGGGATGGGGAGGGGGGAAGGGAGGGGTAACGGGATGGGGAGGGGGGAAGGGTGGGGGTAACGGGATGGGGAGGGGGGTAACGGGATGGGGAGGGGGGAAGGGAGGGGTAACGGGATGGGGAGGGGGGAAGGGAGGGGTAACGGGATGGGGAGGGGGGAAGGGAGGGGTAACGGGATGGGCAGAGTTTCTGCCAGGCATCGATCCCCCCCCCTTCGATCGAAATGGAAGATATAGAAAATATATACTTTTAACAGTCCGCCTTCCCCTAGGGTAAATGGTGGTGGCGGGGTGATGTTTTTTTACAAGGATATTGGTGGTTATACATATTTTAGCTAATAAAGCCTTAGTTTCTACCGTTTAGTCATTCGTTCTGAATGAAGATCGCATCATTAAAAAAAATATTTGCGTTAAAACCCGATTAGATTAGTAGCATCTCCAAAAAACATCTGTTTCTTATTACTCAACGACTAAAAAGCTATTGGATTTCAAAAAATATATGCATTCTTGTATTGTCACCGGAGACAGATGCATCTGGAGATTTGAACCCATGCTGGTTGAGAAAAAAACAGCTGTATAATAAAAACAGCCTTCTATCCTTGACCTATGACCTGAAAATTGTTACTGGTTGTTGCTGTTAACTAGGTTAAAGTTTCTTAACTAGGACATGGATCATAGAAATTAGAATGTAGATGTAGTTAGATCTAGAAACTATTATTTATATTATTAATATTGATCTACTAGTAAGCAGATTTTACGGGTTAGAGACATTTTGTAATTAGTATTAGTTTAAGTTTAATTTATTTATTTTACGAAATAATGATCTAGATTCTAGATCTAGAATCTAGATGATCTTATTTTTCTGTGCATTTCCGTGCGTGTTCAGAGCATGTTAAATACAAAATATTTGAAAATATAATTAGAAATCTAGGCCTAATAATAGTAATAAATAAGATCGAGTAGGCCTATGTCTTTACTAAGTAATTGACGTCATGCACAAAGTAGGAGGTTCCCAGACTCCTAGATCTAGATTTAATTAGGCCTAATTACTAATTAGGCTAATTAAAAGTAATTATATTAGTTTATTAGTAAAATTTTTGAAAAAATCAAATTGAACATAAAGTTTAGCATCATGTAAATAAAAAATGTAATATAATAATATTTCATGGGGCTTATGTAGAGTGTAGGCCCGAAGTCTGAACACTAAATTTGACTAAACAGCACATAATGGCACATATAAAAAAATTAAAATATGTAGGCTAAGTGGATTGTATATCTAGATCTAGTAGAAAATTGAAAGAAAAGTATTATGGTAAAAAGACTTCACTGCACTCGCTTAGAAAAGGCTTTATCAGGCCTATATTGAGTATAACTAGATCTGTAGGCCTAAGTAAAATGACGAATTATTATTGCTTGTCTAGATTTAGTTTACTAGATGATCCACATAAAAAGCTCTTTAAATAAAGTATGAATGGGAATCCCATCATGTAATTGAAAATAATTTGTTACACCCCACTAGAAATAGTCTAGTTGTAAGGCCTTATTTTGAAATAATCTAAAAGTAAGTGTTGTATAACATTACCCTATATAACACAAATAAAATGTTGAGATTGCCTCTTTCATGTTATAGGCCCAAATGAACATACGTACGCACACATGATCACAGGGTTCACACATTCTCTTCCAAAATAGCCGTTCTCTCTGGTTGTTCTGGTGAATCTCTCCTGTTGTTTTGTCTATTCGTATTTCTGGGTTACAAATATATTGGCTACCCAGGGTGGGGTTGTCCCCACAGCCAACAGACCATGCCCTCACAGACTCATCTCACTCTTGTAAAATAGGGGAGTCACAAAAGTCAAGCATGGGAACTCTGGCACTGACACATGACAGATCTCAATATTGGCCTGGCCCAGGTCAGATCCGGACATGACTCGGTCCCGTCCGGTCAGGAAGGTTTTTCCCAGCCATAAAATACAAACTGTCACTAACCCTGGCCTCACACCAACAGTCAAGCCATTGTCAGCCAAGGTAATATAGTAGCCTTCTCAAGACTCTGTGTGCAGGCGTAATTATGCACTGACCCAGTGTCAAGTCAAAGTGGCTGTCTGGTGGGCCAGAACCCTCCTGGGGTTGTGATACCCCCACCCCTAGGTGTATATATATATATATATATATATATATATATATATATATATATATATATATATATATATATATATATATATATATATATATATATTAAATATATATTAGTGGTTCTAAAAGGTTTTGGATGTACAGAACTCCACAATCTCCATATGCACTTCCTCCTCTAATGCACTTTATTATAATGTATTGTCCACACTGACAAAATCCAATCGCAAATCATATGAGTGGGGTGTGTGTCTAGACTGATTTATACATAAATGTAATATTTTAACTTTTGTGTGTGTGCGTGTATTATTAATATGTCATTCCAAAAACATAGCAACTCTCTTTAGTAATAATAAGCACCTGTGTGGTCTTGGTGACACCATTTTGAGTTTGGATGATGTCACCAGGTGTGACCCAAACCCTCATATTGTTTAAAGTCACTGACTTGGCATGTATTTACTACTTTATTCTCCTCAGATTATACACTGAAGCAAAATGTTGAGGGCTGCCGAGCTTTTGTTCCTGTGGGTTTTCTCCATCTACTACAGTTTTATCGTTGTCTTCAGGATCCTGAGAGAATGTTTTTCTGTGGGGTTTAGGCAGGTTCTACAGAGCAAACCTATAGAACGGCCATCTTGTCTTGATGATCCTGATTTGGGGACTCACGGTTATCTTTCCCTTGAGGTATTCATCATGTAGTTAATTTATTAAAATACCAGGGCTCTACCATTATTGACAGGTATTAATCATGTAGTTAATTTATTAAAACACCAGGGCACTACCATTATTGACAGGTATTAATCATGTAGTTAAGTTATTAAAATACCAGGGCTCTACCATTATTGACAGGTATTAATCATGTAGTTAATTTATTAAAATACCAGGGCTCTACCATTATTGACAACCATTTTTTGCATGGACTCCAACCACCATTTAAAAATATCACACTTTGTCACAAAAAGTCAGAACCAGTAGCGTACGCAGGGGGGGAGCAGGGGGAGCGGCCGCTCCCCCTCTGGCCATTTTCAGCTAAGAGGCGCCTTTTTGGAAACTTTTTAAACTCAAAGTTTTAAACAATGATACTTGTTAAAAAAATATTTTTGTTCGGCACATCTATGTAAATCACAAGATATCTTTTCATGCAGCAATTAAGCATTATTGTACTAGTCTAGTAGTGTCTACGTTTACAACACGTATTAACAGCTGCATCAGTTTGGCATTCTAAAAATAACCATAACGATGCATTGCAATGTTTAAAAAACCTCCACGGGTAGTACCACTTGGCAAGAGGGGTGTTAAGTTTAAGGCAACCGTATAATGTATTTGCTTACGAATAATTGAATTAGAAATGTTATACATAAAAATTCACACATAATTACTTTATATATACAGTTGGAATCGTGTGATTAGTTTTTAAAAATTTCAATACAGAAACAATTACAACTAATGTCGCACCTCTATTTAAATTTACTTATGAGCAAACTGCGTAGTGGTGGGGAAATTTTGACAAGGTCAACAACGTCATCACGATGAAGTAGTAGTATTGTTACAGTTTGGGAGATAGTGATTACGATTACAAATTATATGAAACAGTTACAACCCCCTCCCCCATGGACCCCTCTGTAGAAAAATATTGTCATAATACCACTGCTACTTATTTAAATCTATTTCTGTAATATATATTTGTGTAATATATATTTTTGTAATATATATTTGTGTAATATATTTGTATGTTTAGAACAGTCATCTAAAAACTGACGCTATGTTCACTCTGAGTTGGTTATCTCCCCCCCCTACACACACCTCACCACCACAATTGTGTAGAGCGACATTAATGTCACACCTAGGTATACATTGGGTTGGATAATTGACCTAAAGTGACCGGACAGTGGTGAATGAAGTTGAACCCACCCCCCCCCCCCCAACCCACCCCGAACTGATCTGTTAAGTACATGTAGAAAAACGCGTAATGATGTACCAAAGTACCATGCCGCCAGAAAACTAGCTTTTTAAACGTAAAAACTCTGTGAATATTGTTTTTGCAATTATTAGTAAAAAGGTGTGTGATCAATACAGTGATTTAACCCATACCTATCACTATGTTAAAAAATGATCTTTAACGAACACAAAGAAGCAGTAGTTAATTTAAAATATAATTATGATCTGAACTAAAAAGTCCAATATTTAGTTAAATGGCAGCTGTTATTCAGAATGTTTTTCTATTATATCGAAAAGCATGGTTTTTATACCAACTCCAATTTTAAAAACTTTCATTATGCTGTAATACTTTAGCATTTATGATGACGATATATTAAATTCTGATTATAGACAAAAACATTTTGTAAACACGAATAGTGTTAAACAATATCATTATAGTCTAAAGTAATTATTTATTTGTTTTGACATTTATAATTAAATGTGTAGATAATAATATATACATATTTATATTAAGAGAGTGATTATTTCCCCTATTTCACTTGTCTTAAATAATTTCCCAGGAATTATTATGTAAGAAATGTTTTTTTTACAAGAATTGCAAAACAGATTGTGTTACGTTCATTGTTTTTGGTTGTAGTGTGTGTATATTATTTTTTTTTGTTTAGATTGATACAATTTTTGTTTTGTCGGCCTACATTGTGTGTTTTTTCTTATTTCTTCAGAGTTCTACTTTCAACTTATTTTACATCATAGCAAAGTAATGACATACAGCTAGTAATTATATATATATATATATATATATATATATATATATATATATATATATAATAAACGTATATAGAACGTGTTAAAAATTCTGCGCCTTTTTTTGCTCTTTTCGCCCCCCCTACAAAGAAAACCTGGATACGCCTCTGGTCAGAACCCCTAAAATTAAGCCACACGCTTTAGTCATTTTTTAATAAAACCCATCATCCATTTCTTGATGTCTAAAAAATCTTGCAGACCATCACACTGAGTCTCCCAAAAGAAAAACTAGATCTCAATCAAATTTCTATTGATCTTGGCTTACAGGGTATCAGAATTCACTATGTTGCCAGTGGACCTGTGGACAAGCCCTTGATGTTGTTGGTTCATGGCTTTCCAGAGTTTTGGTTTTCTTGGAGGTACCAGATCAAGGAATTTCAGAAGGATTATAGGCAAGTTTCCTCCAATCTCATCATCCATCATCTCAACAGCTAACCTATGCTTGTTTGAGTTTTTGTGTGTTAACAATTGTGTCTGAAGTAAAATTAGTAGTAGGGATTTCAGCCTCATCTCTAACTTCTTTAAATGAAATTTCTATTAAAAAACTAAAGTCCTCTATACCAATTCTAAGATTACTTAAAAATGTAAACAAGTTTGTTTGTTTACTGTTTATAACTGCTAAATTTTTATGGAATTTTGTAATTTTCTTTTGTTTACTGTTTATAACTGCTGAATTTTAATGGAATTTTGTAATTTTCTTTTGTTTACTGTTTATAACTGCTAAATTTTTATGGAATTTTGTAATTTTCTTTTGTTTACTGTTTATAACTGCTGAATTTTTATGGACTTTTGTAATTTTCTTTTTTTTTGTCTGGTTTTCTTTTAACTTGTTCTGTGCTTAACAAAACCTTGTGTTGAGTTTAATTGTGATTGTGTTAATAGAGTGAGCCTGCTAAAACATTCTGTTACCTGTTTTATAATGTAAGATATTTTGTATATGATTGTAGAGTTGTAGCAATAGATCAGAGAGGTTATGGGGAATCTGAGAAACCAAAAGGCATTGATGAATACACTCTCAAAAAGCTTACGTCTGACATCAAACAAATTATTTCAGCACTTGGTAAGTTTGTACCTCTTGCACAAAACATTTTAATTTATACGCCAAAACTGGTTGAATGTTTATAGTCAATCAGATATTTTTAAAAAAATAGCTTTGGTAGTTAGCTAGGTCATGAGGCATAAACTTTGGTTTCTTTCCAAGTTTGTTTCACATTCGCTTTATCTATTACTAACTTATCATATTTTAAAACCTTTAACTCACATATGCTGTTAACATCAATTTAATTGTAAAATCTTACTGTATTATTTTCAGGCTATGAAAAATGTGTTTTGGTTGGCCATGACTGGGGAGGGGCTGTTGCCTGGTCATTTGGGAGGCTGGTGCCAGAGATGGTTGATAAGCTGATTGTCCTCAACTGCCCCTCCAATCCTGTCTTTCAGAAAGTTATACAGACAAATATAGAACAAATGAAGATGTCCTGGTGAGACATCTTATTCAGTTAAATCCCTGTGTGTGGCTGTCTCCTGCAGTAAAATGTGTGGCTGTCTCCTGCAGTAAAATGTATGGCTGTCTCCTGCAGTAAAATGTGTGGCTGTCTCCTGCAGTAAAATGTGTGGCTGTCTCCTGCAGTAAAATGTATGGCTGTCTCCTGCAGTAAAATGTATGGCTGTCCTCCTGCAGTAAAATGTATGGCTGTCTCCTGGAGTAGAATGTATGGCTGTCTCCTGCAGTAAAATGTGTGGCTGTCTCCTGCAGAAGAATGTGTGGCTGTCTCCTGCAGTAAAATGTGTGGCTGTCTCCTGCAGTAAAATGTATGGCTGTCTCCTGGAGTAGAATGTATGGCTGTCTCCTGCAGTAAAATGTATGGCTGTCTCCTGCAGTAAAATGTGTGGCTGTCTCCTGCAGAAGAATGTGTGGCTGTCTCCTGCAGTAAAATGTGTGGCTGTCTCCTGCAAGTTAAATCCCTGTGTGTGGCTGTCTCCTGCAGTTAAATCCCTGTGTGTGGCTGTCTCCTGCAGTTAAATCCCTGTGTGTGGCTGTCTCCTGCAGTTAAATCCCTGTGTGTGGCTGTCTCCTGCAGTTAAATCCCTGTGTGTGGCTGTCTCCTGCAGTAAAATCCCTGTATGGCTGTCTCCTGCAGTAAAATGTGTGGCTGTCCTACAATCAGTTTTTTATATAGTTGCTCTACTGCAGTCAAATCTCAGTCAGCATGTAAGATTGAAGTATGCAGTATAAAGTTTTAAATAAATCATTTCTCATAAAAGTTAATTATTACATTTCATATTGAGTTCTATACAAATTAATCTTTTTTCCAGGTACATGTTTTTTTTTCCAGATGCCATTTTTGCCAGAGTTGTATATCCGCATGAAAAATTATGAGATGCTGGCCAACTGTTTTACCAACAAGAACAAAAATGAGTTGAGCTTCTCTTCCAGTTTTCAGAATCCCATGTCAGAGGAGGAACTCCAGGCATATAAATACAACTTTTCTGCACCAGGTAAGTGATGGGTTTTAGACAAATAAACTGTACTGTAATTTTAAGACAAAAGATATTGCGTTATCACAACTCAAAACACTTACTGTTTATCATTCATTTGTATTTTTACAAGCTATTATTTAACTTGCCTTCTCTGTCATTCTTTTGTCTTGCTAAATGGTCCAAACGGACGAGCGAAATGTTTACCACTTCTACCACACCAAATTCTCACAATTTGGCATGAGGTCAATGCAGTGTGATATAAATTTTGACTTAATTGGATGCTTGATTTAAATATTACAGTTTCCTATATAGACAGTTTCCTGTTATAGACACATTATGCTCATTTGGTGCAGTGTTTCTTATATATTTTCTATATAAATTCCATTTTGTTGGGGGGGGGGTGCTTCTTTGGCCTAGATGCCTAGAAGAAACACTGATTTGGTGTGCTATTGTTTTTAGTCATGTAATTCTAAAAACATTTTAATAATAAAAAAAAAAAAACAATTTAATAACAATCTTAAATGCACTACAAAGTAGAAAATAAATTATTTTCTTTATAAGTATAGCAAACCAATATTTGAATAGCTAAAAAGAATAGCCTTAATTTTTATATATTTAAAGAAAATCATTTTCTTCTACTTTTTAGTGCATAACTGTATTAAAGTTTGTTATCAAATGTTTTTAATACTCTTTTCTTTCACCAGGTGCAATAACTCCACCAGTAAACTTTTACAGAGCTGCTTTTCAAAAAAAATCTGGTAGTGTCCCTTATGATATGAACTACACAATTCCAGTTCTTTTGATTTGGGGTTGTAAGGACATGGCTCTTAATATTGCCCTGCCTGATACAATTGAAAAGGAAAATTATCCTAATGTAACAGTCAAACGTATACCAGAAGCTGGACATTTCACCCAGATGGACACTCCATTTGAGGTCAACAAACTAATTCGTGGTTGGCTCAGTAGCTTTTAGTTAATAAATAACATTATAAATTATGTCAAGATTTTTTTTTCTTTTGATGCTTTAAGAAAATGAAAAGTTTCCATTGTGATCTTTATAAATTAAATAAAGAAATAAAAAATTGTTTGGTATCTGGCTATTTTTTTAAATAAAAAATTACACAAGAAACCTCTTAGTTTAAAAAATACAACCTAAATACCATTGCCAATAATAGTACACTCAGGTGTATAATGCATAAATAATGCAGTTTATATTTAAATTAAATCTCCTATTTCAAGAGAAATTCAAATTACATTTTCAAAAAGCAAAACCAGCTTTCTTTTTAAAAAAAAAATTGGGGGGGGGGGGGGGGGGGGTTGTCGGACACTTAAAAGTGTAAATTTACTATGTAAATTCCATTTCGTACGGGGGGGGGGCAGAGCCACACTCTTTAATACCAGGAAATTATAAATGACAGTATTTTTCTCTACCGGAAACGTGTTCAAGCAACAGAGGTATGCTACAAAGTACAATGTGTGCCTGTGTTAACCTTTAACCCTAGGCATTTTTATCTATAAATGTCTTAGTAGAGTTTTTTCCAGGCCATCTCTTTGCCACCCCCCTTCCCGCCGAACAAAACAAAATTTATATGGAAAATATATAGTTCTACCTGAGTCCCCCACCCCCACGAAAATTTCAAGTGCCCCCTACCCCCTGAGAAAAATGTCTGGAAGAAACACCGTGCCCTAGGCTCACCATCGTTTATGCTTTATCTACCCTGTCTACTATGAGGCATAGACCCTAAGGGGTCATCCGTAAATGACGTCACGCTTTGTTGACGATTTTTACCTCCCCCCTCCCTCCGTCACACGTCGTCACAAAAAGCCAGACCCCCCCCCTAAAATGACGTCACACCTCAGCCTAGTACCCCCCTCAAAATTTCAGTTGAATTTTTTTTTAAAACATCGATATTTTTCTAAAATCTTGTCTGAAATCTGTCAAAATAGAGTATTTTAATCAATTCCTATTACCATTTGTTTAAACAGTCTTCTAAACCGCGAAATAACGTCTAAAATTCGATTTCTAGCATTGCTTTTTTAAAATGCAAAAGTGTGACGTCGCACCATCTGAACCCCCCCCCCCTCATCACACACCATCACAAACTTACCGACCCCCCCCCCCCCCCCTACGAGTGTGACGTCATTTATGGACGAACCCTAAGGGCACGAAAAACGCATTTTTATTATGAGTTATGGTCCGTTAAAAGTCCCTAACCCTGTAAGTTCGTCGTGGGTGAAAAGCCCCAAGTGACAAAATTAAGAAGTATAAATAAAACTTAAACAAGTACGTCATGAATGAATATTTAACTTCTGCGACGTATGCCTAATCTACCCAGTAACATCACTAGAGGCTCGATCTCCCCCCTCGATCAAACTACCCCCAACCAGCAAACTATATTACAATGAAAATTATCATTATGTTTAACATCTTTTATTTTATAAGTACAAAAAGGATGCTATGTTACATTTCTTCAACCCATTACCCTTTTTACTCACGCATTACTCATCGTCACAATGTTGGGTAAAAACTTAGTGCATGCTAGGCCTAGCATGATGAATTAGTTATATTGCTGTGATACTACCGTAATAGACACAATCAGCAATACGTCTCTATACTTTTTATTGGTTTTTACTTCATTTTTTTTAAAATAACCTGCTATAATACAAGGAATGTTTTTTTTTTTAATTTTACACATCCCTCTCAGTTGAATGTATATAATAATTTGTAGGACGGTGAAATGTTTTTTTTTTTCAAATAATATTCAAATATCCGAAAGAAATTCAAATCCGCATAAGTCCGGACAGCATACCCCAGTCCACACACGTCCAAAAAGGTCACCATTTTGCCCCCCCCCCCCCCATTTGTACTTCATAGGGCCTGAGTGGATAATCCATAATTGGTCCGGGATTCGATAAGAAAAACAAATAGGAATTTGTCACATTTCTTCTCAGTTAGAATTGATTGTAGTTCCATTTGAAATGTAATCAGTCGTTCCTATAACTGTTATTGAAGCCACATAATAACGGGGAGCTGGTGAAATGGAAGGAACTGTTGTATAGAAACTAGTGTTATAAGACCAAATAATGGGTAGAGTTCTGTGATTCTTTCAGACATTTTTCTCCAAGGAGGGCACCCTAAAGTTGAAGCTACACTGCACGTGCACACTTGGTCATTTTATCACAACACAGAAATCGAATGCTTAAAACTCACCCATCTATTACTTATAGATCTATATTTTGTAGACGAGATTAATTTTTTTAATCAATAAAAACACAGTATGCAGTCGGCGTTAGGAATACGCCCAACATCGCAAGGCCTGGGGTCAGGGGTGGACTGGCTGTCTCCAAGCAACCCGGGAAATATATCGGCGAATCGAACTTCCGACTCCATTTGTTTTCTCTTGTAAGCCCGAGCATCAATGCTGACAACGCCACTTCTGATAACAGCACCGATCCTGATAGCCCACGGGGATTTCTTTCTGGCGGCCCACCAGGATTTCTTTCTGGCGGCCCACCGGGATTTTCCCCGGCCCAGTTCACCCATGGCTGGGACCAATCACCCTTGTTGAGCCTGTGTCCATATGAAGCCGTAAATACTTCTTAGATCAATCACCCTTGTTGAGCCTGTGTCAACATGATGCCGTAAATACTACTTAGATCTATCATCCTTGTTGAGCCTGTGTCCACATGATGCTGTAAATACTTCTTAGATCTATAATGTACAGTTAAAATTTAGTTAGTAACTTTTTCTTTCTTTAAAAATAAAAGAAAAATGACGTGTTTTATCTTAAAAGCGAAATGACTGTTTGGCACAATAAACTGCTTTTTATTGTCGATTTTAACGTGACGACACAGATTCAAAATTTAAAAAGTGTTTTCTGGGCGTACTTTTTTCTGTAACTTTTTTTTTTAATGAAGGTGCCAGTTCAAACGCAGGGCAGCTGCAGTTACACCTGCCTACAGAGTTTCTTCCAGGTATCTCTTCGGGGGGGGGGGGGGGGGGGGGGGGTAAAGCCCCCCGAAATTTTTTTTACCGCCCCCCCCCGAGCGAAATGAAATTTATATAATTTATATAGAAAATATATACTTTTAACAGTGTCCGCCCCCCCCCGAAGAAAGTCTACCGTCCCCCCCCCCCCCCGAAAATTTCAAGTGCCCCCCCCCCCGGAGAAAAAAGTCTGGAAGAAACACTGCCTGCCTATAAACGCTGCACCAGTCAGGTCCTTCTTTAGTGTTATAAAAGTAACATAGATCTAGAGCGGCATTTCTGAAAATTTTTGAGGTACAGAGTTTCTTCCAGGCATCTCTTCAAAGTCTACCCCCCCCCGGCTAAGAACCACTGATCTAGAGCCAACAAAATAAAGTGGAAGTGAGCTCCCTTATTAAGCTCCCCACTATTGATGTAGCCAGAGTTTTTTTCACACTTTTTTTCTCAGGGGGGGGGGGGGGGGGTGTTTTTTAAAAGACAAAAACATGTTGGCTGAGTAGTGACATCATTTTAGATGTGGAGGTCTGGCTTTTTGTGACGATGTGTGACAGTGGACAGTGGAGAGGGGGGGGGGAGAGATAAAATTCATCAAACAAGCGTGACGTCATTTACGAAATTCCCAAACACAGTTATCCAAAGGATACTGGGTGTTCTAGTTTATTTCAACTTTTTCTAAACATGTGAGAGGAGCTACATTGTCAAAACCTGTTTCATAAAATTCGACTTATTTCAAAATTACTTACATTTTTTTTAAAAGCAGTTTAGGATCAGTTTACCTCTAGACGGATGTTTTTGTTAGGCTAATTTTCATTTCGGATACAAATCTACTTGGAACACTTTTGTTTTGTAGGGAAGTTCAATTCTTTTCCGGAAGTATTTTTAACTTTACAAGTAAACAAGTGCTGATAAGACTATTTTTGGTCAGATTTATTAATATTATTGAATTATAAATACGCGGTCTAAAATCACTAGACCCATCGGCCGGATGAACACATTGTCAGACACTTGTATAAAAATCATCCGGCCTAAGGACTAAGACCAAGGCAGACTCACATTCAATGTCATTATTTTTATTATTTTTTTTTTATTCAAAGATCTAGATTCTTCTAGTTCTAGTTAATCAGATTCTACATCTACTAACTACTACATCATTCTAGATCTAGATCTAGATCTAGATTAGAATAGATCTAGATCTAGATCTAGGTTAGATCTAGAATCTAGTCTAGATCAGATCTAGATCTATATTATCTATATCTCTATATCTAGAATCTAGCTAGGGATCAGATACTTAGATACTACTAATCTAGATCTAGATTTTCTAGATTAGATCTATGTCCAGAGTAGGTAGTAGCAGAGAGATTCGATTGAGTTGGTCGCGGTGCGTTTGTAACTTTAACTTAAATTTAATAACTGTACAGTACAGTAAAGTACAGTTTGCTTGTGTGGAGTGTAGATTTAGTGTGTCAAGTGTAGTGTGTAGTGTAGATTTAGTTGTAAAAGTTGTAAGTTTGTTGTAGTTGAAGTGTTGTAGTTGTAGCCTTGCGTGTAGCCTAGTTTAGTTTAGTAATTAGTTCTTCTTATATAATATATTTATTTAGGCCGATGCTAGCCGGAATAAGATACTCATGCGCAATGGAGAGTAACTACAACTTGCCATCACGGCGATGTTTTCGATGGTACTGCGCATGCGTGTGTTTACAACTGCAGAACCCTAACACCAACCCTAATCCTATCCCTAATCCTAACCCTAATCCTATCCCTAATCCTAACCCTAATCCTATCCCTAACCCTAATCCTATCTCTTACCCTAGCCCTAACCCTAGCCTTAGGTCACTGCGCATGCGCAGAGCTATCTTTTGCCCACTAAGTGGAGACGTTGGGGAGAAAAATGTTCTTCCGAGTAGTCACTTCGATTTATTTATGCTATGTTTTTGTTCAATTTTCTTTTTCATTTTTGTTCATATCAAATTAATGAAATTATCACCATCAACAATATTGCAAATGACTCATTATGAGCACTAGCTAATATAAGTTGGATTAGAAAAACCTTTTACTCGAATTTAACTTTCTTTTCCCAGAATGTGGATGCCTGTGAAGTGTGAACATTCAACATAGAGGAACAAATTGGGCATATTTTTTCTTGCTGCAACAACTCACCAGGGAAAATACATTGAAAAATTAGTGAGATGGAAATATTTTCAAGATTTGTTGGCTCAATGAAAATTAAATCCAACTCAACAAAACCTTCTAAGCACGGAGGTAAAAGAAGGAGCAACCCCAGCATCCATAATGATGAAACAGAGGACATTTTTACAAGCTCAGAAGAAAATAAGCAGCCTGACAGACATAATTACTCCAGACCTCATTTCTTAAATTTGTCTGAGCAAGAAGAAAAAGCTTCCAGAGATCATAATTCAAGGCCAATTATTGTGCCTAATGATTCTTCACGGATTCCTCTTCAAGCTGGTTATGCTGAGTGAGATTTTTATTTTTAAAATTTTAGATTTACTATTACAAATTACATACTGATTTAAAAAACAAAATTGAATATTGATTCATGTAGTTACTTACTTCTTATTATTTTCCTATTATTATTTTATTTAGTTTCATGAGGCTCATTCATATTGTCAAAAAAGTGGTTACATTTGAGTAGTAAAACCAATTTATGTCAGGCAGCTATTGTAAACATTTGTGTGTATATCAACAGATGCATTAATGGAGGTAAATCACAGAACAATGAGGACCAGGCAGCAGTAGGCAGCTTTATTTTATCTCACCACCCCAACGGTCTCGTTGATTCAACAAGAAAAGTATTCACAATTATTTTAATAGATTGTATCATTGAAGTTAGTTTTAGCTATGGATTTATGGTACACCTGTTGCAGGTTAATTGAATTCATGCGCTTTTCCTAATGACCAGGCAAAAAATTGTGCTAATGGCATACTTCACTATGTTAGCTGTTTCTTGTGTGTAATGTAAATGAAAAATAATTTTTCAAGTTTTTTCAAGTCCTCCATAGAAGTTTAACTTTTGGTTCCTCACTGAAACAAAAAAACTTTCAAAAATGAATAACATTTTGAAATACATTTTAAGCCTTGGATTGAGTGTGTCACATGATCTAATGCCTACAAAGTCATTCCTTTTTATATGTAAATATTAATGTAGTTGTTTTTTTGTTACTATTAATTACTTGACTTAAACAGATGGACATCATTGAAGTTCAGTACTTTGCCATATTTGATGGACATGCTGGAGTTGGGGCTGCTCTAATGGCAGCAGATCAGCTAATCAATCATTTACAGGTAGGCGTTGGGGCAGTATTTCTGTCAGACAGTCAATGGTCAGGTGGCTCCATTTGTTCCTTATACTCTGCTGTGTTTGTTATTTGGTTCCTTATACTCTGCTGTGTCTGTTATTTGGTTCCTTATACTCTGCTGTGTCTGTTATTTGGTTCATTATACTCTGCTGTGTTTGTTATTTGGTTCCTTATACTCTGCTGTGTCTGTTATTTGGTTCATTATACTCTGCTGTGTCTGTTATTTGGTTCCTTATACTCTGCTGTGTCTGTTATTTGGTTCCTTATACTCTGCTGTGTCTGCTATTTGGTTCCTTATACTCTGCTGTTTTAGTTATTGCTTTAAACAACTATTTGTTTATTACAATATACATGGTGATTCATCGTTTTGTATTTGGTAGGAAAAACTAGCTGAAATTCAAGAAGATTTATTTAACTTACACATGAAAGAGGCAACACAATTCAACCCTAAAGAAGTTGGCCGGACCTCATCTCTTGTTACTCTCGACAGTTTAGTGAGAGGAGCATTAGAAGCTGCTTTTATGTCTTTTGTAAGTTCTAGCTAGACATTACTAACAAAGTATTTTTTTTTCTTAGTCCTTAAAATTATCATTTTTGTTCAGTTCTTTATCGTAAAAGATAGTATCTTTTTTTAAACCCACCATTTTGTATCAACAAGAGTCTCTATGAAAAGTATAAAATATAAAGCAGATTTTGTTCTGTATTTGACAAATTAACCTGATCTAACTCATGTAGCACACTGTTTAGTTTAAGAAGTGTTGAACTAAATCAACAAAATACACAGTCCCCTGAATGTTTATTGTAGCTAAAGCTTGTGGAATGTTGATTGCAACTAAATAGATAAAATACACTGTAAGGTTATGTGTATTTAACCTTTGAACTTGTGCAGGATGAACACATTGGTGTAGAGAGAAAGTCATTTAATATCAGCGGCGGCTGCGCTGCCATTGTGACACTGATTTTACTAGGCAGGGTGTATGTGGCTCACGCTGGAGACTGCAGGTAATTTTTTTACATCTTTAGCTTGTTTATGGGGATATATCTTGTTAAATTTTACTCTCAGCCATATTTGTCACTCGTTACCACTGAGATATAAAAAAAAATGTGTATCTAAGTATAGAAAACAAGATTGTTACAACTGAGATATAAAAAAAAATGTGTATCTAAGTATAGAAAACAAGATTAGTTCCATCAAATATGTAATGTTACATGAAACTTTTTTCTAGAGCAGTGGCGTATGTAGAGGAAGAGGTCATTGAACTTGCTTCAGAGTTTACCCCTGAAACTGATGCTGAGAGGATTCAATATTTAGTAAGCAAATTATTAGTTTGTGGAATTAGTTCTTAGTTTAGCTGCTCAATCAGTTGTTAAATGATAACTGTTAAAAAGCCTGTAGCTTTGTGGCTAGTTAGTTCTACACAATTACATGCAATAATTTCTAAATCTATTAGCATTATTATACAGACTGTCTTGGTGGTTCAGTTTTCAGAGCAAGTTAACATTAACTCAACACTGTTGTGATTTAGCAACAATAAATGAATCTTGTTTGTAATGCTTGTGTAGATTTTTGTTGATAGCAACAAAGTAAAAATGAATATGGAGAAGTTTGATTAAAAAATTCAACCTTGTGTTGGTTCGTTTTGTTATAAAGGGATTTAAAAACTTGTAGTATTTTATTTAATGGGAACCATTTTTAAAAAAAGGATTTAACATTTGGGGCTTTAAGAATCAAATTAGTATTTTATTTTTCTCCATAATAGTTACATTCTTTAATTCTTATAGTTATTGCACATTATTGGTGAATTTTGACACAATTTTCTTAGGCTCATATTTGTCCATCACTCACCCATGATGCATTCAGTGAAAACTATTTTTTGACTCATCCTAACAAGAAAGACATAGGGAATAAAGTTTTGTGCAGAGGTCCACTGAGAGCCGGATGGTTTGTCCTTTCTTATTACCTCATTAACATTGTGCTAATTAATTATAATCAAATATATACATAAATAATGATAATAAAAGCAAACATTTGTACAGAGTAACTATTTGAACTATTACACAACCAACCAAAATATTTATGATTTTTTTTCTGAGTGCTTAAATAACCTTAGTGCTAAAGAAACTTTCTAAAATATCATTGATTACATCCTGTCCAGGTTTTACAAAGTTGTCACTGAAGAAGATGTGTACAGACCACCTATTATTGCAGGGCAAGGCAAATGGGTAAATATTTGATAACCTCAAGCAGGGGCCTTACTCTATGGCTATTTTAAATGTAATTCCTTAGTTTTAAGCTACCACCATACATGCCCCTGATTAACTCATTACCTAGGCTCGTTTAATGGGAGTAATTGGAGTGGCAAGAGGATTTGGGGACCACGGCCTTGTCGTCTCAGGTTCAAAGATCAAGGTCAAACCATTTCTTTCACCCATACCAGAGGTAAGTCACTCAAACTGTAGTTTTAGTTCAGTTTTTTAAAACTGGTATTTAACCACTAGGGGTCGTTTCCTTGTTATTTTACTTTTTATCAATGAGAAAACATAACTGTAGCTGGCTTTTCAGTAAGATGTGTATCAAATGTCATTAAAACTCAAGCAATTCCAGACACACGTCTAAAAAATCATGATTTTTAAGTAGAAAACCAATTTTAGAAGTTTTTTTCACTTCTGTATGTTAAATTGAAATGTTCATTAACAGGTTCGGGTTTTTAATCTCATGGATTACAAGTTTGGAGAAGATGATGTAATTGTTATGGGTTGTGATGGACTATGGGATATGCTAAAGAACGATCAAGTTGGCTCCACACTCAAATCATCCCTAGCCAAATCCAGGGAAGAGAATATCACAGACAAGTCAGTATAGATTTGTTGACCAGTTATAGATTTGTTGACCAGTTATAGATTTGTTGACCATTTATAGATTTGTTGACCAGTTATAGATTTGTTGACCAGTTTTAGATTTGTTGACCAGTTATAGATTTGTTGACCAGTTATAGATTTGTTGACCAGTTATAGATTTGTTGACCAGTTATAGATTTGTTGACCAGTTATAGATTTGTTGACCAGTTATAGATTTGTTGACCAGTTATAGATTTGTTGACCAGTTATAGATTTGTTGACCAGTTATAGATTTGTTGACCAGTTATAGATTTGTTGACCAGTTATAGATTTGTTGACCAGTTATAGATTTGTTGACCAGTTTTAGATTTGTTGACCAGTTTTAGATTTGTTGACCAGCTATAGATTTGTTGACCAGTTATAGATTTGTTGACCAGTTATAGATTTGTTGACCAGTTATAGATTTGTTGACCAGTTATAGATTTGTTGACCAGTTATAGATTTGTTGACCAGTTATAGATTTGTTGACCAGTTATAGATTTGTTGACCAGTTATAGATTTGTTGACCAGTTATAGATTTGTTGACCAGTTATAGATTTGTTGACCAGTTATAGATTTGTTGACCAGTTATAGATTTGTTGACCAGTTATAGATTTGTTGACCAGTTATAGATTTGTTGACCAGTTATAGATTTGTTGACCAGTTATAGATTTGTTGACCAGTTATAGATTTGTTGACCAGTTTTAGATTTGTTGACCAGCTATAGATTTGTTGACCAGTTATAGATTTGTTGACCAGTTATAGATTTGTTGACCAGTTTTAGATTTGTTGACCAGTTATAGATTTGTTGACCAGTTATAGATTTGTTGACCAGTTATAGATTTGTTGACCAGTTATAGATTTGTTGACCAGTTATAGATTTGTTGACCAGTTATAGATTTGTTGACCAGTTTTAGATTTGTTGACCAGTTTTAGATTTGTTGACCAGTTATAGATTTGTTGACTAGTTATTGATTTGTTGACCAGTTTTAGATTTGTTGACCAGTTATAGATTTGTTGACCAGCTTCTTTCTTATCAAAGAGTTACTGACATTTTAAAACCTTTTTTACATGACTTTATTTACAAGCTGTGAAAACTAAAAAGTTTTCCATGCAGTCATCAAACACAAAATATTTTCAGATACAGAAAGGCAGCAGAAGATTTAGTGCTGCTTGCCAGGGGAGACAACACAGGGAAGGGTTGGAAAATGAAAGATGGAAAAGAGGCTTCCTTTGATGATATTTCCTGTTTTGTTATTCCCTTACAAAGATGCCTTAACAAAAGCCTTAAATGTTATGCTCAGTAGTTTTGTTGTAATTGACAAGTTTAATGTTGGATTAGTTTTTTTATTATATGATTTTACAAAGTTATTGTTCAAGGTGCAAGGTAAAATGTGTACATATTTTATTATTGTTATACACAAAATCTGTTTCAGCTTTCTGTTACATTCCTAATTTTAAAAAAAACTGACTTGGCTCAGATAGCTGCAGATCCCTTTTTTTACTTTGTTTAGGAATAGTTTTTGTAAAGTTGTAAAGAGCTTTCATCAGGGTTTTGTTTAGTGACCCAGTGGGTGCTGCAGGGTGCGAGTTTTACGCTAATTATGTAAAGTTTTTTTATTACATAGACCACAAGGTGTTCCATGTACTGATGGTAAATATTTTTATTCTGTCTTCTCACATGAGAAGTTTACATACAGCTGTACATAGTTGAAATGCTAGTCATTTGTGCTTATGTCATGTTGCTTCATGTATTCGGATATTTGATCCTAGTGATATGCAACCAGCATTGAAACAACCATTCCATAGTGTTTGTGTTATACATCAGATATTTCCTTGCTCTGAATGTAACACAACTCATATTTGGAGAGTTTTTACATAATGTCAGCTATGGTTTGTATCCAGATTTAGTTAAACATATAAGTATATATTTACATAGTTGTAGCATTAAATAATTATCTTATCTGTTTGTGCATTAAGGTTACAGCACAGTTTCTTATTTTAATGGCAGTAATGACAAATGTTAGCCTACATTGTGTCATTTACTTAGTTTTTGTTTACATCACTTAGACTTTGTTAACTGAAATATTTGTACACTGTATCCATTTCAAGAATTTATTAAATAATATATATTAAATAAGTAACTAAGTATTATTATCAAATGCAAACATTTCATTCTGTAAATTCAACTCACTAGTAGATATACTTTGTATTTTCTCATCAAAAGTTTTTATGCTTGTAATGTTGACAAGTTAGTGTAAATGTTGGTATTTAGTTGTCTGGTTCACTGACTACTGCTGATGTAAATTATATATTTAAACCTGTTAAAAGCTGAATAAGAATATGTTAGTTTGTTTACTTATTTGCATTGGCCAAAAATATTTGATTATACTTAAACATTGCCAAATGTATATGTTACCAGCAATTTGAGAAATCCAGCTGTTCTATAATGTTCATATTGTTTTCAGGCAAGCACAAAGGTCTTGATAAAACATTTTTATTACATTCTTTGCCTTTATAGTATGAAAGCTAAACAGCCCATAAATTAACAAGTGCTGGATAAAGTGTGTCAGTACTGGAGACAGGTCTGAAAAAATATATTGAATAAGAATTAAGAAATACATATATGTCTGTATGTTTATATCTATTTTTAAACAACAAACAAACTAAAAAACATTTCAACTTTCTGCATATAAGTGCATCATTTCCTACCCTCAAGCATTTTAAGCATTTTCAACACATGGACTGTCACACATTGACTGTCACACTGTCACACATTGTCACATTGTCACACATTCACTGTCAGATTGTCACACATGAACTGTGACATTGTCACACATTGACTGTCAAATTGTCACATATTGACTGTATTTCTCACATTGTAAGCCTGATAATGGGAAGTATTCTGGAGAGAAAAACGTAGTTGATACTTTGTCAGATTCTCTGTTAAAATATAATTTATTTTGTAAGTTGCCTTTTCTTTCAGCCATTCTTAATTTTTTAGTTTATAAGCTGTTCATTATTGCTCTCAAAATTTTTATATTAAAAATAAGTAAGTATATATATATATATATATATATATATATATATATATATATATATATATATATATATATATATATATATATATATATAGTGACTGTGCAGTATCGAATCAGTTGTGTAAATAAAAGTAATTTCTTTGTATAAAATTCTGAAAGCTTTTACATCAGAAATATTGATCCCTGTGAGTTGATGTTATTTTTTAAAATACTGGTTTAGAAATTCTGTTTTTGAAAAAAATCAAGAGTATTTTTAAAAAAAACATATCTTAGACATTCCATCACAAAAAACTCTACCTCAGTGATAGAATTGCTGTTAAGTATTCAGTAGAAACACATTCTCTCACTAATAGATTTGCTGTTAAATATACAGTAGAAACACATTTTCTCACTAATAGATTTGCTATTAGGTTTTCAGTAAAAACACATTTTCTTAGACTAGCTGTAAGGCATGTATTTTCATAAAAAGCATCTTTCAAGTCTTGTAAACAACAACAGGTTTTACCCTCACCTTTCTTGCTTGGAGTAATCTCATTAAGTCCTCTAATCTTGTTGTTTACTTGTAAAATTGTTTTTACTTCATGCACAATTTATTTTTATGTAAACTTCCCAGTATTTTTAATAGTTTGTTTTGTTAAGCAGAAATAATGCATCTGTTTTATTTTTCTCCTTATTTTAAAAAGTTTTTATAGTTTCTTACATAACTTATTTATTAATCAAAATTTTATTAATTTAAAAAAAAATATTTTCCATTTATTTTGAAGATAATTTTGAATTTTTAGGAATTTAAATTATTTTCTTTAGATAAAGTTTGATTAGAACCTCCACTACTTACATGAGTTTTGTTTTGTAAACATTAAAACTTACAGGCTATAATGAACTAATTTCTGTTGCTACTAAAGTATATGATATTATTATTAGATTTTGTTCACTATGAAGGTAAACAATGTGTTGGAGGAGAAATTTTGAGAAGTCTGTGAGTTACGATTTCCCCAAATCTTGGTTTTTAAAATAAACATGAACAGTGTTTAGAATTGAAGAGAAAAATTCCAAAAGTTATTTAGTGACATTTTTCTAATTTAATTATGAGTAAACTAACTTCCAGGTAAAACAGTAATCAGTTTTATATTTTCTATAACATTCATCTTGCACATTATGTTACCTTCAGAGTTTTTTATCTACTGATTTTTTCAAAACTTTTTAAGTCAACCAGTAACTTTGTTATTTAACTAATATACATTCTAGCATATTTGAAATCTTATGATAATAATAGAACTCATGTTTAGATTCTAAAAGTTTTGGAAAATCAAATTTTCAATGGGGAGATTTGAATTAATACCTCCAGGGTCATCCTTAAATGATGTCACACTACTTTTTGAGCTTGATCAACATTAGGTATACTGTTAAGTGTATAACATAAAAAAATAAATGCACATATCCAAATGAAAAAATTTAACTAAAAAATAAAATTTTAAATGTGTAAGTGTAAGTCCCTACTTTTTGAACTCCCCTCCCCATCCCACCATCAAACGGTGTCCCAAAATTCCAAGCACCCCATCTCCACTCCCTCTGGAGCATGTTATCCTATACTGACCACCCTAGAGTAAAAACTATATTTCCCTTATGTTTCCTAGTGTAAATTTATACAATCTGTGACCCGTGCAAGGTTTCTACTCCGCACTAGTTTTTCATGGTTGCGTTTTTGCCGATGAATTTTTTAAAAACTTAGAAAACCTATTTACATTAATAAAAATCTACTGCAGATAATTTTCACAAAATGTTATTATTTGTTTCTAATCCATTTTATTATCCTAAGAAGTGCCTTTTTTTCTGTACTACTTGTTGAAATAAATGACCTGTGCCTACATCACATTGAAATACTCAGAAATAAAACTTGTTCTAATTGATTTGCTGTTATCTTGTTTATATGGCATCTTATTAAAATTATTCTTGTACACAATGGATTGTTAAAACAATAGAAAATTTTTATGAATGGAAATTTGACACAAAGCTGACAGTAATTGGATGAGGAAAGAAGTTATTGTAATGTACATGTGTGAAATGTATACTTTATTTAGACCCCTGCTGTAGTTTTATTAATTCTTTCTAGACAGGTTAATCTTTTCAAGAAAATCTAATTTTTAATTTATTTAGATATTAAAGTAGTAATTAAAAATGAATATTTAGATGTTCTATAAAAAATCTCAAGCAATTGCTAGATCAGCCTGTCCACAAAGGTGAATTGTTTGTCCTGAACTCCTTGTTTACAGGGGCATTAAGGAGGGGCAGATAACTGTCTTTTAGAGATCATGATCTAATGGTTGGATTGTAATGGAAGTATTTTTAGTGGTTTGTGGTGTCGATTTACTAAAAAGGAGAAAAAAAAAACAAGTAAAAAAAAAAACTCACTTCATTAAAAGCTCTTAAATGCATTGAAAATATAAAAGAAATAAAACTTGCTTTCTTGAATAAAAACTTTGGGTGCTCGTAAAATTGTCTTACTAATTTTAGCGTCTACTACTTTTATTACAGAAAGCAGGTTTTATTTCAAAATTTTCAATGCATATAAAAGTTTATTATAGAGTTGTTGTTTTCAATATGTGTTTTATTGTTTCTATGTAGGTAGTGTCAATAAAAGCTGGACAACCCTGCTAAATCAACAGCCAAAATAAGCGGAAGGGAAGTAATTAGAGGGTGAAATGTTACTCGTGCCCTTCGGTGTTATGTCCCTTAAAGACGCCAGGAACTAGGATATTCGGTTACATCAAAAAGTTGTAAGAACAGCCGAGGCAATCAAAATCTAGGACTAGATTTCCTTCAAGCTACTGCGTGGTTTTCCTGAGTTGATTCAAACACGTTTCCTGATAGTTTCATCCCAAAGTTCATTAAAAAATGTATCTCAGTGTTGATGAATCTTGTGCCATTGGTTAACACACATTTTCACTGAACTCTTTTAGGTTTGCAGTTGTTTCTGACCAATGTAACCGTAACAAACGGTGGTCAGACAAAATAACACGCAGTATTTCTTCCAGACTTTTTTTCTCCGGGGGGCACTTGAAATTTTCGGGGGGGGGGGGGGGAGGGGGGGGGGGACAATGTTAAAAGTTTATATTTTCAATATAAATTATATAAATTTCATTTCGTTCGGGGGGGGGGGGGCGGTAGAGATGCCTGTAAGAAACTCTGATAACACGATCTATTTACATCTTTTGTTATTAAATCCCAAGGAAGTTCTACTACTTGTTTGGTTGTTATGTAAGTTCTTTATGTATGTACTTTATGTATGTTCTCTATGTAAGTTCTTTATGTATGTTCTTTATGCATGTTCATTATGTTCTTTTCGTCCTTTATGTTCTTTATGTTCTTTATGTCCTTTATGTCCTTGATGTCCTTTATGTTCTTTATGTCCTTTATGTCCTTTATGTTCTTTATGTTCTTTATGTTCTTTATATTCTTTATGTTCTTTATGTTCTTTATGTTTTTTATGTTTTTTATGTTTTTTATGTTCTTTATGTCCTTTATGTCCTTTATGTCCTTGATGTCCTTTATGTTCTTTATGTCCGTTATGTTCTTTATGTTCTTTATGTTTTTTATGTTCTTTATGTCCTTTATGTCCTTTATGTCCTTGATGTCCTTTATGTTCTTTATGTTCTTTATGTCCTTTATGTTCTTTATGTTTTTTTATGTTCTTTATGTTCTTTATGTTCTTTATGTTCTTTATGTCCTTTATGTCCTTGATGTCCTTGATGTCCTTGATGTCCTTGATGTTCTTTATGTTCTTTATGTTCTTTATGTTCTTTATGTTCTTTATGTTCTTTATGTTCTTTATGTTCTTTATGTTCTTTATGTCCTTTATGTTCTTTATGTTCTTTATGTCCTTTATGTTCTTTATGTTCTTTGTGTTCTTTATGTTTTTTATGTTTTTTATGTTCTTTATGTCCTTGATGTCCTTTATGTTCTTTATGTCCTTTATGTTCTTTATGTTTTTTATGTTCTTTATGTTCTTTATGTTCTTTATGTTCTTTATGTTCTTTATATTACCCAGGTGTCACGTGC